AGATGATCGACAAAGTAGTCCGTGTGACACCAGTGGTTTAACTGTAAAGTTACGAAGCTAAGAGAATACTTTTTTGCGTAAAGAAAACAAAAATAACGACTTTATTCCACATTTTCGTCTCTACTGCGTGACTTTGGACGCGCGTTCACGACAGTACCATGACGCGAGTGTGTGGCGGCGCAGACCCAGATCCGGCGAGATGACATCATTACGTCGGATCTGGATCAGTGCCGCGTCATGATAGTTTCGTAACTTTACAGTTGAACCACTGATGTCACACGGACTACTTTGTCGATCATCTTGGTACTTTTCTGGACCTTGAACGTGGTAGTTACCTTGCTGTCTATGGGAGGGTCAGAGCGTCCTCATATTTCATCAAAAATATCTTAAATTGTGTTCCCGAAGATGAACGAAGGTCGTACGGGTTTCGAACAACACGAGGGTGAGTAATTAATGACAGAATTTTCACTAACCCTTTAAAGGAACATTCCATTTTACAGTTTTGCAAATGTTATGGGAATGTTAGTTTTGAATGTTCTCTGAACATTCTGAAACAAGTAGTAACATTAAAAAATGTTTGATGAACATCCAAATAAAATGTTTCCGAAAACGTTCCACGAGTGATGTATACATAATGTTTTTGTGCTAATGTTTTGAGAACATTATTAAAGACCAGGTAACTTTGAACAAATGTTCGATTTACATTACTGGAAGAATGTTTGGTCATAACTTTGAAAGAACCATGCCAGAATGTTCTGAGAAGATTCTCTGTTAGCTGGGCGATTTCAACCTTTTTTAATGTTAAACTATTTTATGTTTTTATTTCATTTTTATGCCAATTCAGCATTAGAAAGATGCTGTGTGTGTGTTTGTTTAATAAACAAACTCTTACAGCACTGTGAGAAAAACTACTGTATATAAGAATTACATTTGATATTGAATATTAAACTATTAATACCTAAATCACGAACACTGTATAAAAAACGTACCGATTTACTACATAGAATCTATGTAAATGATTGTAAAAATTACTAGCAATTTCTGAGTGAAAATAGACCACATTTTGTTCAGAGCAGAAGCAGCTTAATTAACACTAGCATTTTACTTTATCTAGAAAAATCTGTTTATACATCTGCTTTAAATCCTCAGATTAAGGTTATAGTTCACCGAATTAATTTTTTTATTTTTTTGTGAAACACCTCAATTGTGTCATAATAATACAGAGCCTAAAAAACATGTGGGTGAGTAAATGATGGGAAATTGTTGATTTTGGGTAAACTTGAACAAGGCAGAAGCACCGAGACTGTGGGAACAGATGTATCATGGGTGACCACAGTACCTAGGGCAGCATGGGAGATCGGGAAGGACCAGCAGTCTGTCTCGATCTTTGCTGGGTAGTCTGGACCAGGGGTGTATGCCGAGGGGAATTTGGCCGATTTGATGATGTCATCAGCAGACTTGCTCTGGGCTGCAAAAGCAGCTGAATCTAGATCAATAAACCGGGGGGAGGCTGTGGACCATCAGTGTGGCCAGACCAACATCTAACCAACAGATAGCAGAAAAAGCCTGCTACAAGCCATATGTGGCATACGGTCATGGGTTTATGGCCTCTGATAACCCACATTCACTATTTAAAGCAAAGAAAATGCAATATTTACTACTGGAGGCTATTGGCTGTCTGCTTGCATGCTAAACATGCATAGCTATATCATAAGCCATAGCTTATCACACAGCCAAAATAAATCATGCAGCAATCTGACAAACCATCACTGGCGTTAGAATGCATTGCAAGTGTTAATACGCAGACAGTGGGATCCGACCTGCTGAATTCATCTATGGATAAATATAGCAACATTTAATTATCATGAATAATCCCATTTCCAAATAAGCTGAAATAAAACCCCCTCTTGTTCTAAATTTACTGACATCAGACTGATTATAAACTAATATAATTATTATTTTTTTTTTCAATAGTATGGATGAAGACACATTCGGCCAAACATTATGCTGTTCCTGGCTGTGTGTAGCAGTTTTATTTTTTAATTATTATTATTATTATAATATTTTGAATTAGGTTTTTCATATTGTGTGTTTTCTTTTTTTCTCTCTTTTTTTGCATTTTAATTTTAGTAATTTTGTTGTATGTTTTTTTTTTTTATATGTCTCAATAATTTTTCTTAACATTTTATATCAGGTAAAACAATGAAAAACGTTGCTTTGGGAACAGCTAACACACACACACACACACACACACACACACAATTTCATTTGAGTTACAGTTTATTTCATTTAATTTTGTTTTTAATTTAACTATAGTAACTCTGGTGTGTAGCACCTACAGCTCGGCATTTGATTATTATTTATTTTTAACAAGATCCAATCATTTTTATGCTGATTTTAACAGATTTAGCTGCACATGCAAATTCAGTGGAGATTATTTAGGGATGGAGTAGAACAATACAAGAGAACTCAACAGCAAACCTGCAGCTCATAAGCAAGAGCAAAAGCGTTGTATCTCATTTCACATGCGAAGAAGGAACAGCGGCACAAAAAAAAAAAAAGTTTGATTCTAAGGGTCAGAGAGGCAGTGGAAAACTGTCAACTTATAATGTGTTGACATAGATATGATATACTAACATTATAAATGGACCCTTGGGGGGGAAATTATTAATAATACAAAAAGTATGATAATGACCCCTTTAAATGTCAACAAATTTAAGATTTAGCCCATTTTTTTTCTTTTTTGAATGCTTGTTGACAAACAATAATACTAGGGTGTAATTTCTCATTTTAAAATCAATGTAATCTTTTTTTTTTTTTTCAAATAGCAAATATGATATTACCAGTTTTGGAAATAAGGGGTCAGTAAATACATTAGCAGATACTATGCATATCTAACTTTAAAAAAAATCTTGCAATTTTTTGCAAGTTTTGTTATTTATGAATATGAATGAAAGCTCATCAGGCACTCATCAGGAGAAGATGCTTTAATGATGATTTGACTGATCGGTTGATTAATATTTATAGTGAAATGAGCTCAGTTGAGAAGACTTCAAACAATACTTACATGTTTACATTGAGGTGGTGTTTAATTGGCACACAAGCAGATATTAATGAGGTGGAGGGACTCACAGTTTCCAAATAAAAACAAACAAACAAAACACAGAAATATGGTAAAATGACATACAAACCATACACAGTCATGATGTGAAATATTCAGAATTTTCTCTCAATAAAAATCTTCTGGCTGCTAGTTTGTTAAGGTAACTTTAAACAACCTGGGCTGTTAACTAGGTTACCGATGAACTGTTAAGATCTGTCTTTTTATTGACCTGCTGTTGTAAGCCAAGCAGCATTAAAGAAAACATGCAGTCTTTGCACAGTATACATTGTCAGTCTTGCCTGAATATTATGTTGTCATATTATAATATTAATATTATGTAAAAGTCATGCAGATGCTGAATAAAACTTAACTGACTTTACCAGTAAACAGAGCAGCTAGTTTCTCAACATGAGAGCTTTAATGCTTGCAATTATCAAGCTACAGTATATAAAACTTTAAACACAACCAATAAAAAGTAATAAGTAAATACAGGCAAGCATCTTAAGAACTCAATCAGATGCAATCTTCACAATGCAATACTTAAAGAAATAGTTCGCAAAAAATGAAAATTTGTTGAAAATTCAAGATGTAGATGAGTTTGTTTACTCATCAGAACAGATTTGAAGCAATTTAGCGTTACATCACTTGCTCAGCAGTGGATCCCCTGCAGTGAATGGGTGCCGTCAGAATGAGAGTCCAAACAGCTGATAGAAAGAATCACAATCATCCAAAAGTAATCCACACAACTCCAGTCCATTAACATCCTGTGAAGTGAAAAGCTGTTTGTTTGCAAGAAATAAATCCAACGTTAAGATGTTTTTAACTTTGAAACTGTTGCTCCAGGCTAAAATACGCATCCTCTATCCATAATATTGCTTTCTCCAGTGAAAAAATGATCTCGTCTGTATCAGGAGAGAAATATCCACAGATCAAGCAAAAACAGTTCTAAACAAATATGCTGGTGGATTTTTATGTGAGATGACAACAGGGGATGGACACTGGAGGAAGTGTTATTATGTCTTATGTACTCTAATACTAATGTACTCTAATACTTATGTATTTTGGCCAGAAGCGAAAGTTTAAAGTTAAAACATCTTAATGATGGATTTGTTTCATACAAACACAGTTATTTGCTTCATAAGATCTTAATTGATAGACTGGTGTGGTGGTGGGGATTACTTGAGGATTATTGTGATGTTTTTATCAGCTGTTTGGACTCTCATTCTGACAGCACCCATGCACTGCAGAGGATGAAGAAACAAACTTATCTAACATCTTGGATGGCCTGAGGGTGAGTGAATTTTCAGCAAGTTTTCATTTCTAAAGGAACTATCCCTTTAAAAACAGCGGTTCCCAACCAGGGGTGCATGTGCCTCAGGGTGTGCTTAAAATTTTTTGATTTTGCATTGTTAAAAAAAGTTGTAGCTTCTCATTCAAATTTGTACCATTGGGAATGGTTGTGTGATATTTCATACTTGAACCTCTATGGCATTTAAATTTCACCATGCAGAGTGCAAATTACTTTAATTTTGACAAATGTTCTAGCTGTAATAATTATATAGTCATCATTTTTTAAATTCAGTTACATAAAGGGGTAGACTGGTCTAATTTGAATCTGAAAATTAAGACTTGACTAACTCATAATAGGTCTTAACATAGTGCCTGGACCACGTTGATTACAACGTGAATCATAATAATGAGCATTTAAATAACATTAAAGGGATAGTTCACCCAAAAATGAAAATTTGATGTTTATCTGCTTACCCCCAGGGCAACCAAGATGTAGGTGACTTTGTTTCTTCAGTAGAACACATATGATGATTTTTAACTTTAACCGTAGCAGTCTATCAGTCGTATAATACATGGCAATGGTAACAAAATCAAAAGTTTTTTTTTTACTCTCATAGATTTTGTTATCATTGCCATGCATTATACGACTGATAGACTGCAACGGTTGGAGTTAAAAATCATCGTATGTGTTCTACTGAAGAAACAAAGCCACCTACATCTTGGATGAGTATTTATATAATTTTTTTACCTCTAATACACCACTATGTACAACTGTCTTTGGGCATGCGCACGGCATCCGGTGCGTGAGGCGTGTACACGCTCTGGCGTAGTTTACACAAGTGCCGGAAGTGATCTCTCGCGCGTATACGTCACTCATTGGTTACACAGTGCACAGTCATTGTAGGTACGAAGGCTAATCAAAATGGTACTTACTTGCGCTTATCC